TCTATGGCAACACCTTCACCAATCAGAGACCACTTGCCTGCTCTGAGAACTAAGATTGACTGTTAATTGTTCTTGCTCCATTTCAATTAACAACAATGGCCCAATCAATTGGTACCTCTTCTCCTGCTGTTTTAGTTGGTGTTCTTTTTCTCAGGAACAAAAACAAAGTTGCTGGAAAAGCTCAGCAGGTCTGGCAGCATCTGTGAAGGAGAAAACAGAGTTAACGTTTCGGGTCCGGTGACCCTTCCTCCCCTTCTTTTTCTCAGGCCTGATTCTTGCATCATCATCTCCTTTTAGCAATGTTAACGTTCTGTAACTTTGTAGCAATGTGCCAGTTATCCAGGCAGAGTGAGTGTATATACTGAAGGCACAAGCAAGAAATTCTACACTAAAGTCTTCAGATTCCCTGTTTTTGTTTCATTGTAATGCTGACTATTTTCTTTTACTCTCTCTCCTCCTCTTCCTTTAGCTTTTGGTAATGCCTGCAACACAGAGTGGGCTGCCATTGGCTGTAATAACTATGATGGCTATGACTCTGCTGCCAGCCCCAAACCAGACAAGAGCCATTGTGTAAGTATAAACCCTTTTCTCCTAGAATGGTCAGGTTCCATTAAGAAAGCTCTATCAATCCATTTAAAGGGGAATGTCAGTATCAAACAGGAACTGTGTAGCTGATGGGCTTTGTAAAATTTGATCGAGAATGTGCATAAGAATTATTCAGTATCTCAATAGGAACAGAAGGAGGCCATTCAGCCCTCTTAACCTTTTTCTTCCTGTATTTGTGCATGGAGCATTGCTGACAATGCCAATATTTGCTGCACATCCCTACTTGCCCCTGAGAAGGTGGTGGTGAGCTGCCTTCTTGAACCACTGCTGTCCTTGTGATGTATATATAAAGAATTCCGGGATTTTCACTCAGCAGCAATGAAGAATTGGCGATATAGTTCCAGTCAAGATGGTGACTGACTCAGGAGTTATCTAGAATGATGGGATGGTCCTATGCATCTGCACCCTTGTCTAGCTGGGTGGTAGAGGCTGCAGGTTTGGATAGTGCTTGACAGCAAGGCTGCATTCGACTGGGTGTGGCATCAAGAAGTCCGAGCAAAACTGGAATCAGTAGGTATCAGGGGCAAACTCTCTGGTGGTTGGAGTCATACCTGACACGCAGGAAGGTGGTCGTGGTTGTTGGAGGTCAATCATTTCAGCTCCAGGACATCTCTGAAGGTGTTCTTTAGGTTAGTGTCCTTGGCCGGACCATCTTCAGCTGCTTCATCAATGACCTTCCCTCCATCATAAAGTCAGAAGTGGGGATGTTCACCGATTATTGCACTATGTTCAGCACCATTCATGACTCCTCAGGTACTGAAGCAGTCCATGTTCAAATGCAGCAAGATCTGGACAATATCCATGCTTGGGTTGACAAGTGGCAAGTAATATTTGTGCCACACAAATGCCAGGCTATGACCATCACCAATAAGAGACAATCTAACCACTAACCCTTGGCAGTCAATGGTGTTACCATCACTGAATCCCCCACTATCAACATCCTGGGGGTTACCATTGACCAGAAACTCATACTGAACTCACCACATAAACACAGTGGCTACAACAGCAGTTCAGAAACTAGGAATACTGCGGTGACTAACTCACCTACTGACTCTCCAAAGCCTGTCCAGCATCTACAAGGCACAAGTCAGGAGTGTGATGGAATACTCCCACTTGCCTGGATGTGTGCAGCCCCAACAACACTCAAGAACCTTGACACCATCCAGGACAAAGCAGCCCACTTGATCAGCACTACATCCACAAGCATCCACTCTCTCCACCACTAATGCTCAATATCAGCAATGTGTACTATCTACAAGATGCACCGCAAAGATCATGACACAGCACCTTCCGAACCCATGACCATTCCATCTAGAAGTACAAGGGCAGCAGATATATGGGAACACCACCACCTTCAAGTACCTCTCCCCCACCAAGCCATTCACCATCCTGACTTGGAAATATATTGCCGTTCTTTCACTGTTGCTGGGTCAACATGCTCGAATTCTCTCCCTAATAGCATTGTGGGTCAACCCACAGCAGGTAGACTGCAGCGGTTCAAGAAGGCAGTTCACTACCACCTTCTCAAGGCAAGCCCTGCTATTGACAATGTAGATCACGAGATTTGAGAGTTAGGGTTATTTTGAAAATTTCAAAGGCTGTATTTGCTTTCAGGGCAAGGTCTGTCAGCGAACACCAGTTCTTGCATGACCAATCTCGTTTAATGCATGACCGACAGCGAAAAGGCTGGATCCAGTCGCTACTGGACACGTTACATCTGAGATCAGCACTCTCTGAGGCTACAACAAAGATGAGGCCAGTCACATCTGCAGGAGGGGGGAAAACACAACTCAAGCAGGGAAGGATTACAGAGGCCAGTTCCAAGGGTGAAAGGAGATCATTCACTTACGGGAAGTGCACCTCTGCCTTTCCCAGTGCCCAGGGGTCAAGACTGCAATTCAGTACCTTGGACAGCGCACAAACGCAGCAGTCAAACCGGCAACACTTCAGCACCCACAAAAACAGCCCAGAAACCCAGAAGCTGAGCACAGAATCACAGAAGTTGTAAAAGTTCAAGGAATAGTGTTAACCTTACTATTTGATATAAGAAAGATAAATGAAATGGAACAAGAATTGTGTAAACTCTTTTCAGCTTTCACCTCATGAGCTAATCTTAGTCTGGATGTTTCCTCATTAAAGAATTAGCCTTAAGGCTTTTAGGATGTGAGTGTTTTTATTGCTCTTGACTAATTGGGATTTGAGATTTTCGGGCTGCCTTCTATCTTACAACTAAAAGGCTGATTCAGAAGACAGCAAGAACTGGCCATATAGTGAGTGGCTAGCGTGATATGTAGGTCAAACTAAGTCAGAAGTCACATGACACCAGGTTATAGTCCAACAGGTTGAAGTCACAAGATTTTAGAGCGCTGCTCCTTCTTCAGGCTTCTTCTTCACTTGACAACGAAACGGTGCACCGAAAGCTTGTGGTTTCAAACAAACCTGTTGGACTACAACCTGCTGTTACGTGACTTCTGACTTCATCCATTCCACTCTAACACCGGCACCTCCACATCTAGGCCAAACCTGGATGAGGTCTGAAATAAAAACAGAAAATGCTGGAGAAAATCTGCAGGCTTTGCAGCATCTGTTGAGAGAGAAACTGAGTTAATGTTTCAAGTCTGATATGACTCTTCTTTAGAATGCAGGTGGAGATCTTGTGGATCGTAAACCCATTGGGCTTTTATAAGATGAATGTTTCTGCTAGCATCCAATCCTAGGTTATAATGAGTTCAATTCTATTTCCAGTGCCCTCCATCTCACAGATGGACTGGGGAAGCAGCTTCCTGGGAGTATCCCCGAGATTCCCCTGTCACATGCCATTCCGAACTGGGCACATTGCTCTGATCCCTCATTGCCACTGGATCAAAATCCCTCCCCAACAGTTCCATAGGATCACCTTCACCACACTGACGGTAGAGGTTCAAGAAGAGAGTCTGCCCCCATCTCCATTGGGCAACTCCACTTGGGGCAATAAATGTCCATCCTGCTAATGCCACCCCACACCTTCAGCCTTGCCAATGACTGCATTGCTCTATAAAATACAACAGCTTTCCTCACAGCCCTCACAGGAATGTGTGATGCCATGGCTGGCACGGATCATAGAGTCTGGATGATTTGATGTCCAGCCTGTTGTGAGTTGAATGAATTCACTTGGGGTGTTAATGTTACCTTCAGTAGAAAATGGATGAAGAACCAGTCAGGCCCCTCACCACACAGTTTAATATTCACTGTAAACCATGTGTTAACTCACTGATGCATCCCAGAGATGTGAGCATGGCTGGCAAGGCCAATTTGTATTGTCCAGCTTTAATTTTTTTATTCATTAACAGGATGAGGTTGTCACTAACGAGGCCAGCATTTATTGTCCATCCCTAATTGCCCAGAGGGCAGTTAAGCATTAGCTACATTGCTGTGGATCTGGAGTCATACGTAGGCCAGACCAGGTAAGGATGGCAGTTTCCCTCCTAAAGGATATTCGTGAACCAGATTAGTTTTTCCGATAATCAATGATGAATTTATGGTCACCATCAGACTCTTCATTCCATTTTTTAAAATGAAATTCTAATTCCACTATCTGCTGTGGTGGGATTCAAACCCAGGTCACCAGAACATTCCCAGGGTCTCCGTATTAACAGTCCCCCCGATAATACCACTAGGCCATCACTACCCAATTATCCTAAAAGGGTGATGATGAACAAGATTAAAATGGTTGGCTCAGTCTCTTCAGAGGTCAATTTAAACCTGACTGTAGGATTAAAAACACATCTAGATGGAGCATGAGTAAGGATGGCAGATTTCCTCTCCTAAAGGATATTCTCAAGGCTGTTGGGTGCTTTTAACAATCTAATAACCTCATGGTCACTGTCATTGTACATTGATGGGAATACCTAGCCATAGCATTTAACCAGTCTGAAGTCACACATTGGAACTGAAGGAGTACATTCTGCCCCTCCAGCTAATCTCGCTGTTCATCAGTTACGTCAGCTGTACCTCAACTCCATTTCGCCAGCTTTGATCAACCTTCACCATCCTTACCTCAGAAACATCCCTCAATTCTAGTTTGGAACATTTCAATTAACCTCCTTCCCCAACATCCATATCCTTTCTCTGAGAGTGTGTTCTGGATTTCCACAGACTAAGACAAATTCCCTGATCTTCTCTTACATCCCCCACTTCCCAGGGCTCATAGACACTAAGCAGTCATGGGTGGAAAAGGTAAGGATGTGTGACAAGTGGTATTAGGCTCTGGTTTGATGTACCCCTTCCACCCATCCATTTTCCCTGTGGTCCAAAAGCTCACTGCTGCTCCCTGAACTCTGGGGAGTTCATGGCAGAGTTCAACAACAGTGGATAGGCTTGACATTGTGCCTGAAATTCAGGACCAGAGGTGCTGGCAAGAAAAGACTCGATATGGAACAAGGGGAGAGTTTTGTGATGATGAGGCAGGAATGGGTTGGGGTGAAGGGAAGACAAACCATTGGGAATATCAGAGGAATTCTGAAACACTTCAGAAATGTTTCTGCTAAAAGCAGCAAGCAGAGAATGAGGGATCCAGGTTGTTTTTTATTTGTCCTTGAATAAAGTCGTTTGATTAAACTGCACATAAGAATGAAGTAAAAAGTAGAATTTGAAAGATACTTCTTTTTTTAATCTAAAGTCTTTGACCAATTGCTCCCACAACAGGAAGTAATGTAACAGAACAATTTGATCACACCAGGGGAAAGCGTGTCTGCAAAGCAGAGATTTTGGAAAGTTGCAGGGATAGCTGCTCATGCACCTCAGATCTCAGTCAACCCACACGGAGCACTTACATTGAGTTTTCTACCCATACAGTGGATGAACTTTGAACTTAAGTCACAAGGAAGTATTTGGGGAGTTTGACCTTTAAACTTTGTCAAAACCAAAATAAACTGCAAGGAAGTATTTTATTCCCAGTTCACATGAAGGTATTAGATCCATTCTAATACATTTAGACACCAGTCATTCTCTCTTGTTATGGATTCTCCTCTTCCATTCGATAACACTTACCATCTTCCAGTCTTTTCCCTACTTTTGTTCTCAACTCCTGAGCCGAGCCATCGATATCTCATTCTTCCACTTTCTCTTTGGACTTGGTAGCTGATGGTTTGCTTTGCTTTTTCTTGTCTTTCTGTTTCTTGTCTTCATTCCCACGTTGCCTCTTCTCTTTCTCCTTCCCACGTTTTTCGTCCTTCCCTTTCTCCCTCCTGTCCTCCAGCTCTCGCTGCTTCTTCTCCTCTTTCTCCCGCTGCTTGGCCTCCTTTTTCTGCTGCCTCTCCTCCTTCTGTCGCTGCCGCTTCTCTTTCTCCTTCCCCCTCTTGTCGTCCTTCCCTTTCTGCTTCCTGCCTTCCTTCTGTTTCTGCTTCTTCTCCTCCTTCTCCCTCTGCTGCCTCTCTTTCTCCTGCTGCCTCTCCACTTTCTCCCTCTCCTTATCCTCCTTCATCTTCTGTTTCTTCTTCTCCTTATCCCCCTTGCCTTCCTTGCCCTTGGATTTGTCCTTCGGTTTTGACTCCTTTTTATTCCTGTCACCCTTTCCCTCTTTCTCAAGCCTCACCTTTGACTCTTTCTCTTGTGCTGGGACTGATGGAGTTGATGGAGATGCTGCTGCCTTGGTTTTCTGAGGTTGTTTTTCCTTATCCTCCAGCTTCTCTTTAGATCCTTTGTTAAAGAAGTTGAAACCTATTGACTTTCCTGCCAATTAAAGCAAACATATTGCTCATCAAGTGAAAAAAACAGCGTGAACTCAGCATTTTCATTAGAAAATCAGGAACGATATTCTAATTATTCATTCTTAATTCATTTATGACATGTGGGCATCGCTGACAAGATTGGCATTTGTTGCCTATCCCTAATTGCTACCTGAACTAAGGCTTATCCACCTAGCCTGCACACCCCTGGACACTATGGCCATGCTAAATTGCACAATCTACCTAAGCTGAACATCTTTGGACTGTGGGAGGAAACTGGAGCACCCGAAGGAAACCCACACAGACTGTCACCCGAGGGTGGAATCAAATCCAGGTCCCTGATGCAGTGGTTAGCACCGCTGCCACACAGAACCATCGTGCCACTCTACAGTGCCACTGGTATTGCCCATCCCTAGTACCCCTTGCAAAGGTGGTGGTAAGCTGCCTTCTTGAACAACACAGTCCACTGTTAGGTAGATGCACATTGTCCTTAGGGAGGGAGTTCTGGGATTTTAACCCAGCGACTCTTAAGGAACAGCAATATATTTCCAAGTCAGGATAATGAGTGGCATGGAAGGGAACCTGTGAATGGTGGTGTTCCCATGTATCTGCTGCCCTTATCCTACTAAATGGAAGAGTTTGTGGATATGAAAGGTGCTATTTAAGGCACCTTTGTGAATTCTGCAGTGCATCTTGCAGATATTACACACTGCTGCTACTGACCATTGGTGGAGGAGAGAATGGATGCTTGAGGATGTGATGACAATCAAGTGGGTTTGCTTTGTCCTGGATGGTGTCAAGCTTCTTGAGTGTTGTTGGAGCCGTACTCATCCAGGCAATTGTGGTGTATTCCATCACATTCCTGACTTTTATAGCCACCGGTTCATTTTCTCTCCATGGCAACTACCTAAGGCGATCCAGGCTGTTCACAACCTTGATCTCACATTCTAAACCTGTGATTTCTACTGTTGAAAAAGTTGGGGCAACAGGTGCAAGTTCCACTCTAAAGCTACACATGCTCCAATCTTGGAACTATAACACCAATTCTTCACTGTCGCTGTGTTAAATTCTGGGGACACCCTCCCTCACAGCACTGTGTGCGTGCCTACCCCTCAGGACTGCAGCAGTTCAAGGCGGCAGCTCACCACCACCGCCTTCTCAATTAGGGGCTGGACATTCAATGCTGGCCTATCCAGTCACAGCCACATACCATGAATGAATAAAATAGAGACTATTTGGCTCCGAGTTGAATGTAGAAACATAGAAAATAGGAGCAGGAGTAGGCCATTTGGCCTTTTGAGCCTGTTCCGTTGTTCAGTATGATCAGGGCTAATCATCCAACTCACTCCACGGTTCTTTTTTTCACCCCATACCCTTTGATCTCTTCATACATAGGCCCTTCACCACCATGACTGTGCATTTCCACCTTCGCAATATCACCTGACCAATCTATGTATCAGTAATCAATAGCTGAAACCTTTACTCATGGTCTCTGTTACCTCTGGACCTGACTGCCCCAAAGCTCCTGGGAAATAGTGGCTCCGCGGTAATACCACTAGACCAATCATTCACAGGCCCAGGTTAATGTTCTGGGGGTAGAGACCCTTAGCCAGATTACCCCCCACTGCACAACATGAGCAGGGACTTCTAGGCTATCGGGGTGGGAAATGCTCACTCCTGAAAAATCATGGCCACATTCCCAGGAGGAGGAACACCAGGAGAATCTAAGTCTTCCTACAACCACAATCAGGCTGCCTCCTGCACCCCCCCCCCCCCCCCCCCCCCTACACCCTGGCACCCATCATCACCATCCCCTCCAACTCCAGCACCCCACCAGTCCTCTCTGATAACCGTTCCTATTTTACCCATAACAAGAGGATCTCATGGTGAGCCTGTCAATCCAATGCCATACCTCGACTTTTCTTCTCTTTCTTTGGCCTGTGGAACAAACCATAAAAGTTGGGGGTAAGTTGGGAACACAGCAGCTATCACTCACCGATCGGTTCACATGAATCACTGCACAATCCAAGAACAAGGTTTAAGGGAAGATCGCGAATGGAAGGGCCAGTGGGTCAGAGAAGGGGCCTTCTCCACGGTAACAGAATGATCACTGGCAGCGTGCTCACCAACATTTTATAGCACAGGTGGAGGCCCATTAAGCCCATTGAGCCTGGCTTAGCTCTTGGACAAACCCAGGCTATTGATTAGTTACACTCCCCTTAGCTCTGCAAAGAGTTTAAGCAATGATCCAGTTATCCTTTGAAAGTTCCAATTGAATCTCCTTCCACTGCCTTTTCAATCCATGCATTGCAGATCACAATAATGTGTGAAATATTTTCTCCCCATTGACCTGTTTGGTTATAGCATCATAGTCATACAGCACAGAAACAGACCCTTCAGTCCATGCCAACCATAATTCCAAACTAAACCAATCCCACCTGCCTGCTCCAGGCTCATATCCCTGCAAACATTTCTTGTTCGTGTACTTATCCAAATGTCTTTTAAACCTTGTAACTGTACCCACATCCATCACTTCCTCTGGAAGTCCATTCCACACACGAACCACTGTGTAAAAAAAATTGCCCTCCATGTCTTTTTTAAACCTTTCTCCTCTCTCCTTAAAAATATGCCCTGTCGTTTTGAAATCCCTCACCCTAAGGAAAGGACACCTGCCAATTACCTTATCTCAACCTCTCATGCTTTTATAAACCTCTAAGGTCATCTCTCAACCTCCCATGTTCCAGTGGAAGAAATCCCAGCCTATCTAGCCTCTCCTTACAACTCAAACCCTCCATTCTACTTGGTCTACTGACAATTATCTTTAAATCTGTTTCCTTTGGTTACAAATCCTTCCCTCAGTGAACAGTGTCTCTTTATTTAGTCGACCAAAACCCTTTCATAATGTTGACCACTTCTGTTAAATCTCTGCATTTGGACTCAAATCCTCCTGGAATGGCAGGAATTAATTTTAGTTCCCAGCGGTAAAGTTACCATGTGACATAGGTTTGGCCAGCCTCAATTTAATTCCTGATCCATACCACCTCATTGGGTAGTGTCCACTATTCAACATTCTTAGGCCAAGAGGGCTTGTGATGCTTTGGGATACCATCTCTGCGTCTGAACCAGAAACTTGGGGTTTGAGTCTCACCTGGGACTAGATGGACAAGGAAGGTGTATTCATGATGTGGCCAAACACAGTGTCAAATAGCAAGTCCTTCCAAAACATGTCAATGGCGCACAGTAAGAGAGAGAAAAGTTCCCGATCAGCCACGTGATGGAGAGAACATCGGAGCCTCTACCATCACTATCTACAGCTCTGGGCTACATTGTGCAGGTAAAACTCCCCAATTTCTCCCCACACCCCCACCCCCTCCCCCCCCCCCTCCCTCCCTCCCTCTCTCTCCCTGTCTGTGTCTCTCTCTCCATCTCTCTGTGTCTCTCCCTCTCTGTCTCTCTCTCCAGGGAGTCAGTTGACTCCATTATTGGTCAGATTGATGCCAATAGTGTGGAGTTGGATTTGGGATTTACCTCCTTGGTGCAGGTCTGATGGCTGTGGGTCAGGCCGAATCTGAAGAAGTAGAAAGTCCATACAATCTGGTCAATGCCCATCCCTCAAATAACACTCAATCCAAATATTCTGCTCGTTGCCACATTGTTGCTTGTTGGATCTTGTTCTGTGTTGGCTATGCAGCCTTCCTAGACTGCGATAAAATGTACCCTCATTGGCTGTAAACCACACTTTGTGACATCCTGATGTTGTGAGAGGTGCCATATAATGTAAGCTTTTCTTTTAAACTCAATGGTAAATGAAAAAAGCCATGACATGGAGAAGGCCATGGTATGGTAAAGTATCTGTGACACAGTTAATAGGAATTCTTCCAAGGTTGAGATAGAGGCATTTTGTTGAAATATTGTAGGGGATAGCTTCAGTCTGCACCTCTATGTGTACCTGCTTTGGTAATACTCAGAGTTATACAGTCACCATGGGATAAGGTGGAGGTTATTCAGCCCATTTGTTCTCTCATTAGGACATTCAGTCTTATACCTCACTCTACCCTCTTGACCCTGCACACTTATTTCCCTTAAGTGTCCATCTATTTTCCTTTGAAATGACTGCTTCTGCCACCTACATGGACAGCCGCTCATAACTCACCATCCCGTCCCCAGCACATTCCTTACCCAAAATCTTAACACTGTCTTCCTCATGTCCTTGTACCATCAGTCAATGGGAGCAGCTTTGCTTTGCCTGCTTTACCCAAACTCATCTCAACCTGACTACCTCAGCTGCCCCTTTCATCTTCGAGGGGCACAATCCTAGCATCTCCAACTGAATGTTGCAACTCAAACATCTCACCCCTGCAACCAGAGACAGAACCAACCGGATTGCTGTACTGAGGGTCAGAATGAGCTCGATGGGCTTAAAGACCTCTATCTGGGCCATAATGACTGTATCACTCTCAGGCAAATCACCTCTGCACCTTCTAAATGGCTCATGTTTTTTTCTAAAGTGTGGTGACCAAGTTTGGCAACTGTGGTCTAATGAGAGCTTGATAAAGCTTTGGCATAGCTTTTCTACCCAATGCCTCTGTTTATTTTGAAGGCAACAGTGGAATGGGACAATAATTTCTGGTCCCCTGAGCTCTGATCCCTCAGCTAGTGTGCAAAATTCATACCCATTCTCTTATTTTGATGCCTGTCTGTTGTAGCAGTGTCCAGAGAACACTCAATCACGAGTTACCTTGTAGGGGTCTAGTTGTCTGAAAAATTCAAAGTGCCTTGTTTGCAATTTCCATGCAGGGCCTTACTCTCAAATCTTGCGTGTGTTAGATTTTTGTTTGTTAGGCAAGGGTGTGAACAGTGGCAGAACCAGGGTAGGCCAGTGGACTTAAGATGGAGATCAGCTGTGAACTGAGGCAAGACACTTGGATAAGTACATGAATAGGAAAGATTTGGAGGGATATGGGCCAAATGCAGGCAGGTGGGACTAGTTTAGTTTGGGAACAAAAGTTGTCATGGACTGGTTAAACCAAAGGGTCTGTTTCCATGCTGTATGAATCTATAACAGACTCAAGGGTTGAGAGCTGACGGTTGATCTCGATGGGATGTACAGGTTCAAGGGATCACTTTTGATGGTTCAAAGTGGAGTTGGAATTTATTGGCAAAAAGAAATCAACAGAAGTAATCATCACCAACCCCCTTCGAAACCACCCACAACACCACCACCACCACCGCCGCCAATTGGACACCAGAACTCTCATTGCACCCATCCCTCTCTCCCAAGACCACCCCCACCAATGGAACACTTTCCTCACCAAAGTGCAGTTGAAGCAGAGGTAAAAAATGCCACATATTTATATATCACCTTTCGCAACCTCGGGATGTCCCAAAGTTTCAAACTTTGACCGGTCTTGTAATATCGGGAGATATGGCAGCCAATTTATGCACAGGAAGCTCCCATCAAGCAGTGAGAGAATCACCAAATCACCAGTTGGACTGAGGGACAAGTTTCCACTGGGAACCTGGGGGCGGGTGTTGGGCTACTCTTCAAATCTACCTGAAGGTGGGGTTGGGAGAAGGGGAAGGGGGCAATTCCCAGTTTAATGCTTCATCACTGTGATGGGTGGCAAAGAGTCTGGAGTCTTCGTGCCCGAGTCCCTGGAGTGGGACTTCGACCTATGACTCTCGGACTCAGTTACAAAGAGTGTCCACCCTCCCTTCCCCAACCGAACCAGCTTGAATAGGAATACCCACGGTTCGACAAGAGGCCAGGGCTCTTGCTCACGGTCGAAGTCAGGCAGGCTCTCGTCATCACTCCCTTCCCTCTTGCTTTGGGTCCTCTCACTGCAGTCCGTCTTTTCACTCTTGTCACTCTTCTTGCTTTTTTTGCTCTGCTTGCTCTGTTTACTCTTCTTGCTGCTCGCACGACTCGCCTCGTAGTATTCCCTCATGCCCTGCAGCGGCGATCAGGGGAGGAGGGGGAGGAGAACACAGAAAGAGGGAAAGACAAGTGATTGCGTTGCTGTCAGGCAGAAAAGCTACAAGGAGTTCCTGCGGGACAGGAGCAGGGGTGAAAGAGGATCACTGGATAGCGCCCGTTCCAGCATAATGAAAAAGGCAGAGGTTTAATTCCCATTCCAGCCAACGTAGACTGGGGACCCTAGCTCCTTACTCTGTCTGTGAGAATGCAAGGCAATAACAGACTAGCACTAAACAAAACCAAAACAAAGAAAGTTTATAAAATCATGTGGGGCATGGGTAGGGTAAGTAGCCAAGGTCTTTTCCCTAAGCTGGGGGTGTCCAAAACGAGAAGACATAGGCTTAAGATGAGAGGGAAAAAATTGGAAAAGGACTTGAGGCATAACTTTTTCATGCAGAGGGTGGTGCGTGTATGGAACAAGCTGCCAGAGGAAATGGTGGAGTCTGGTACAATTACAACATTTAAAAGGCATCTGGATGGTTATATGAATAGGAAGGGTTTAGAGGGATATGGGTCAAATGCTGGCAAATGGGTCTAGTTCACATTGGGGGGTCTGTTTGATGCAGATGAATTGGACCAAAGGGTCTGTTTGTGAGCCTTATGACTCTATGACTGCAGGTGCTAGAAAAACTCAATGGGTCTGGCTGCATCTGTGGAGAGGAAGCAGAAATTGTTTCAGGTCTGGTCATCCTTCTTCAATTCTGAAGTCACTGGACCCGAAACATTAACTTTGTTTCTCTTTCCACAGATGCTGCCACGCCTGCTGAGTTTTTCCAGCAATTTCTAAGCACTGACTGGTCCTTAGCTCATTTTCTGCTGATGGTTATACTGTTAAACGCCTCAGGATTAAGCATCAGTCAACAATGAGCCAAGGACCGATGCATAGACAGTGGGCACGAAACATGAATGATCAGTAAAGGACGCAAATAAAATTGTAAAAATATTGCCACCAAGGCTTTAGACGTGGGCTCTTCCTTTGAGGGGTGAAGATAGGGTTAATGGTAGGTATTTCCCTAGGGTGGAGGGATTTCAAGACTAGGGGCCACATTAAGGTGGGAGGAGAAAAGATTTAAAAAAGAATGAGGGGCAACTTTTTTACACAGAAGGTAGTTCGTGTGTGGAATGAACTTCTGGAGGAAGTGGTGGATGTGGGTACAGTTACAACATTTAAATAACATTTGGATAAGTACATGAATAGGAAAAGGTCTGGAGGGATATGGGCCAGGAGCCGGCAGGTGGGACTAGTTTAATTTGGGATTATATTTGGCACGGACTGGTTGGACCAAAGGGTCTCTGTCCGTGCTGTGTGACTCTATGATACAATAAGGAGCTTCAGTTACCTTTGGAACTTGTGATAGTTCTCCAACAAACAAATAATGTTAATGGGGGATTAAATGAAAGATGTTCAAACCAACTTTTGATGAATAACATACAAGCAAGGAATCCCAATATGCTTAATAGCCATGTCTTGGAAGTTGAATTGTAAGAAACACAGCTATCAATTGCCACACAGCCAGCTCCCATAAACAACAATAAGATAGTGAGCAGATTAGCTTTGCACTCTGCGATGTTTGCCGAGTGATAAATATTGGCCATGACTGTAGGAATAATTCCCCAGCTCTTCTTCAAAGCAACCCCCCTCCCTTTAAGAAAGCAGATGGTTCATTTGGAAAGATGGCACATCCAACGGTGCACACTCCCTCGGTATTGGCCTGGGACAACTTACCTAAGGAGAAGGGAGAGAGAAAGAGAGAGGGGGAGAGAGAGAGAGAGAGAGAGGTGGGGGGGTGTGAGGTCAGGAAAGTAGGAATGGGAAAGGAGGAGAGGGAAATGTATTGTGATGTCGTAGATAAGGTGAGAGTGGACAGAGAGATGTGGAGAGGATTAGACAAGGGGAATGAAGGAGTGGGGAAGGACTGATGGAATGCAACTCTGAAGGGATAGTTTCCTGCAGCAGAGATATTATTCCTTGTGGGGATCACTGGGCAGCTAATGGCCTTGAACTGAGGGGTTTGCTGGGCTATTTCAGAGGGCAGTTAGGAATCAACTGCTTTGCTGTGGATCTACGTGTGAGTCACACACAGACCAGACCAGATGAGGATGGCAGATTTCCTTCCCTGAAGGATGTTAGTGAACAAGATAGATTCTTACAAAAATAAACGATGGTTGTAATGGTCATCGTTACCTGGAGGCACTTTTCCTTCCAGGTTTATTCTAAGCAATCTGGAGCAGGTGGGACTTGAACCAGCATCTCCTGGGTCAGAGGTCAGGACACTACCACTAGATTGATAATGGTAATTAATTAAATTCATTCATTCATTCATTTCAATTCCAGCAGCTGCTGTGGTGGGATTTGAACTCTATGCCCAATACTCCTGGTGCGCTAGTCCCATAGCATTACCAGTACACCACCTGTCAGGAGAGCTGGGAAATGCACCAGAGGAAAGTGTGCAGAGAAAGGAGACATCCAGCTGGAACTCCCTGTGAAATGGTTACACATAAGCACATGACTGAGTAGCAGGATGAGGCCTTTCGGCCCCTCGAGCCTGCTCCAGTGCTTGATAAGACCACAGCTGATTTGAGAGTAGCCTCAGCTTCACATTCTCGATGATCACAGCCTCTCACCGAGAGACACCCTCTAAGGAAAAGGCCCTGACAGACAGCAGGAAACTGAACCCCACCACCACCTCCAACCTCACCCCAACCCCCATTTGCCCCAAACCAGAGCGCCACGTACCGGTGACATCTCCGGTGGCTCTAGCTGCCAGTCAGAGAGCGTGGTGATGGAGGTCTCCAGACTGGCCTGCTCCAGGATGCACTCAATCTCTGGTGTGACAGCCTCGTAGCCGTACACTTCCTCGGGGTTGGTGTGCAGGAGGGTCACCAACTTCATCCAGCGCTCGAACACCTCATTCTCACAGTCGGGGTGGACATATAGCTGCAGGTAGAAAGCCCTCCCATTGGCAAGCTTCAAACGGAGACGCCGATTGTAAACGTCATGGATGGAGATATTGACAAAACTCAGGGGAAACAGCCTGTTCCAGAAACACAAAAAGAAAACTTAACCAGCATCAACGCACGGCCAGCCATGGTGATCCACCCAAGGGTGGAGTGGACACCAAAGATCTGAAGACATTAGGGAACAGAAGTAGGCCATTCAGTCCATCAAGTCTGCCCCACCATTCAATGAGATCATGGCCAATCTGATAATCCTCAATGTAACAAGGTGTAGAGCTGGATGAACACAGCAGGCCAAGCAGCATCAGAGGAGCAGAAAGGCTGACGTTTCGGGCCTAGACCCTTCTTCAGAAAAGCTCTGAAGCTCCCAACCTCTGAAGCACTTTGCGGTAATGAATTCCACAGATCCACTAGCCCTGAGAGAAGACATTCCTCCTCATTTCTGAAGAAGGGTCTAGGCCCAAAACATCAGCCTTCCTGCTCCTCTGATGCTGCTTGGCCTGCTGTGTTCATCCAGCTCTACACCTTGTTATCTCAGATTCTCCAGCATCTGCAGTTCCTACCATCTCTGATAATCCTCCACTCCACTTTACCCATAATCCTCGATTCCCCTACTAGTTAAAAAAGCTCTCCACTTCAAACTTGAATATATTTCATGACCCAACCTCTGAAGGACTCTGCGGTAATGAATTCCACAGATCCACTAGCCCTGAGAGAAGACATTCCTCCTCATTGCTGCCTTAAATGTGTGACCCCTTATTCTGGAAGTATGCCCCCTGGTGTTAGACTCTCCCACGAGGAGAGGGCAGCACACTGGCTCAGTGGCTAGTCCTGCTGCCTCAGTGTCAGGGACCCGGGTTCGATTCCAGCCTTGGGTGACTGCCTGGAGTTTGCCCATTCTCCCTGGGTTTGCTCCGGTTTCCTCCTACATTCCAAAGATGTGCAGGTGAGGTGGGATTGGCCATAGCAAATTGCCCCGTAGTATCCAGGTATGTGCAGGCTAGGTGGGTCAGCAATGGGAAATGCAGGGTAATGGGAATGGGGTGGATCTGGGCAGAATGCTCTTTGGGAGCTCAACTTGATGGGCTGAATGGCCTGCTTCTACACTGTAGGGATTCTATGAAGGAGAAACTGTGTCTATGCAGTCAATTCCCCTAAGAATCTTGCATGTTTCAATAAGGTCACCTCTTGTTCTTATAAATTCCAAGCCCTACTCACTTGTTCCTCATTGGAAAATCTCTTCATACTCAGGTAAATCTAGTGAAACTTCTCCGGACTTCCTCCAATGCCACAATATCTTTCCTTAGGTAAGGCGTCCAAAGCTATTGACAGTATTCCAGGCTGTGGACTGACTACTGCCTTGTACAGTTCAGCAAGACCTCTCAATTTTTACACTCCATTCCCTTTGAAATAAAGGCCAACTTTCCATTTGCCCTCCCTATAATCTGAATTCGGAAACTAACTTTGTGAATCATGGATGAGGGCTCCCAACTGCCTCTGTGCTGCAGCTTTCTGCAATCTTCCTCAATTTAAATAATATTCTTCCTGCCATAAAGGGAGAGTTGGCATCAATTAATGAGGTACGCACACACGGATTTGCACTCGGGCAGCACAAGGAACTATGTTGAATGAAAGAAAGGGAGAAAGCAAGCAACTAAGCAAAGACTTGCATTTGTATAGCACCTTCCACGAATTCAGGATTTTCCCCAAGGCTTTATAGAACTAATGAAATACTTTTCAAAGTGTACTCTCTGTTGAAATGCAGGCAACACAATAAGCAAATTGTGCCCTCTCACTCTCTATCCTTATATAAATGGGAACAGCTTCTCTCTCCAGCCCATTCATGATTATGGAAACTAGCACAATGTATACATGACACAATGGCCAAATAACTCCCAACAGCATAGTGGTTCAAGACACACCACGAGCATTTGCAAGGACAATTAGAGGCAGACGATAAATGTTGGCACAGCCACTGACGCCCACATCCTGTGAAAGAATATTATTTTTTAAAAAAATCTTTCAGTAACGTTGTTTGAGGGGTAAATGTTGTTTGGGATAATGGGGTGAACTCACCCACTGTTCCTTGAAATAATGCCACCATATGTTAGAGTCAGAGTACAGAAACAGACCCTTCGGTCCAACCAGTCCACCCTGATCATAATCCCAAACTAAACTAGCCCCACCTGCCTGCGCTTGGCCCTTATCCTTCCAATCATTTCTTATTCATGTATTTATCTAAATGTCTCTTAAACGTTGTCAGTGTGCCTGCATCCACCACTTCCACAGGAAGTTCATTTCACACATGACCACTCTCTGTAAAAAAAAACTTGTCCCTCATGTCTTTTTAAAATCTTTCTTCTCTCACCTTAAAAATATGTCCCCTGATCTTGAAATCCCCCACCCTAAGGAAAAGACATTTTCCATTCACCTTATCTAAACTTTTCATGATTTTATAAACCTCAATAAAGGTCAATGCTCAACCTCCTACGCTCCAGTGAAAGAAGTCCCAACCTCTCCTTATGACTCCAACCCTCCATTCCCAGCAACATCTGGTAAATCTCTTCTGAACCTTCTCCAGTTTAATTATATCCTTCCTATTGAATGAGCCAGTACAGACACAGGGCTGAATGGCCTCCTTCTGATCTGTAACAATTCTGTGGTTCTGACGGGAAGGAAATTGGACCCTCAGCAATATTGTTCACTCTTAGCTGCCTTCTGAAATGCCCCAGTGAGACAGCCAGCTCTGCCTAATCTCAGGGAAACCTAAGAATGGGTAATAAATGCAGTCCCTGCCAGTTACTCAAGATTATGAGAATGTTGAAGAGAATGAGTCAGCTAAAGTGGGAATGTCGTACCAACATGTTAAATTGGCCACACAGAACCTCTCCCCTCATCACGGTTTCTTAAAATGGTCATTGGTTTTCCCCACTTGTTCTCTATGTCCTACCACACGATTGCATTTATTTATCCCCTTGAATGTCAGGGGGCCTTCCAGGAGGGTTAGCGGACAAAATTTGACGCTAAACTATACAAGGAGACATTTTGGCAGCTGTCCCAAAGCAGGGCCCATGAGGTAGGTTACATGGAGTGTCTTAACATGGGCCAAGGGGATTGGGGGGGGGGGGGGGGTTGGGGGGGCAGGCAGATGGAATGTTTTAGGAAGAGAATGTCAGAGCTTAGGATGTTGGCAGCTGAAGGTACAGCCTCCAGTGGAGAAGTAAAGGGGTATAGGGGTGGCTAGGCTGCATCTGGAGCATTTTCAGCATTCCTGAGTGTCGGCACAGCTGGAAAAGATGGCAGAGAGCAAGCATGGGGATGGGAATTTTAAAACTGAAGCGTTGTTGGACAAGGAAGTAAATGCAAGTCAGGGAGTGACTGACAGGGGGACGAGGGCTTTCTGGGGAGTCCTTTTTTTTTTATACCCGGTCATGGGATGTGGGTATTGGCTGCTGGACCAGCATTCATTACCCATCCCTAATTGCTCTTGAGCTGAGGGGGCATTGCCAATCTATTTCAGAGGGCAGTTAAGAGTCACCGTCATTGCTGTGGGCCAGACCGCGTAAGGATGGCAGATTTCCCTCCTTAAAAGGACAATGCTGAACCAGGTGGGGTTTTATAACAATCCTTACACGGTCACCATTTGTCTAGCTTTTGATGTCAGAAGAAGATTCAATTCAAATTTCATCATTTGCCATTGCGAGATTTAAACCCAACGCCCCAAAGTATGGGACCATAAAACGTATGAGCAGAAGCAGGCCATTCAGCCCATCGAGTCTGCTCCACCATTCAATGAGATCACAGTTGACCTTAATAATCCTCATCTCCATTTTCCTGCCTTTTCCCCATGTTCCTTAATTCCCTTCTAAGGTAATGGCCAAGTGGTATTATCGCTGGACTGTTAATCTAGAGAGCCCCAGTAATGTTCTAGGGACCTGGATTTGAATCCTGCCAAGGCAGATGGTGGAATTTGAATTTAATTTAAAAAGTCTGGAATTAAGAAGCTAACGACGACCATGAATCCATTGTTGATGGCTGGAAAAACCCATCCGGTTCACTTTCGGGAAGGAAACTGCCATCCTTACCTGGTCTGGCCTACATGTGACTCCAGACCCACAGCAATGTGGTTGACTCTGAACTGCCCTCTGGGCAATTAGAGACGGACAATAAACATTGGCCTTGCCAGTGATGCCCTCATCCCATGAATGAATAAAAGGAAGAAATTAGAAATCTGTCTATCTCAGCCTTGAATATCCTTAATGTCCCAGCCTCGAAAGCCTTCTGCAATAAAGAATTCCACAGATTCACTCCCCTCCGAGAGAAGAAATTCCTCATCTCTGGTTTAAACTGGCAATCCCTTATTCTGAGATGACGCACTCTAGTCCTTGTTTCCCCTTGTGCGGGGAGAGTATATCTCCACACCTTCCCTTTCAAGTCCCCCAAGAATCTTGTATGTTTTAATAAGGTGACCTCTCATTCTTCTAAATGTCAGGCCCAATCTACTCAACTATTCCAGTGATTCCCACCGGACCACCATCCACCCCCATTAAGAACAGCAGGA